ATCTCAACTAGCCTCTAGTACGTCGCTGGACTTACATTATCCATCCCTTTCTATTGATGAAGAAGGAAAATAATGGTTATGACACAAGAGTGATATTAACCTTTAATTTTGAGTGCTGATAGGAAAATCATGGTTGGGCATAATGGTCCAACAGTTAATGTCTGACATTTGAATTCTTTTAATATAGAGACACCACCAAAAAGAAAATCCTCTGTAATGGGAATCTACACTAATTTATGTAGTTTATGTAACAACTTCCTAGTCGTTTGAAAGTCAATGATTATTCAAAAGAGGAAAACTGCTATTGTTAAATCGACATTCACATATAAGAGAATGTACCTATAATATCCTAGAATTATAAGAAATGCAGAAAGACAAAGAAGTGTTCAGTTTTATTGGGCTGCAGCCTGCATTCCCAATAAAGAGGCTGATTACACACACAAATTTGCCCAAAGGAAAGGAAAGTTGTATCTAGCAGCCACTCTTACCCATACTCTGCTGATTTCAACTACTCTCATGAAATCAACATGATAATAAATTGAATCTTTAAATAAGTTAAGAAGAGTAGTGTTGATCTTACTGAGGCTGAGTCACAAAGTTTGGTCACTGATGTGAAACACTAAACTCAAAAACTCTGAGCATTTGGGAGTCCAGAGACAAAAGCACAGATATGGAAAATGAGTTTTATTTTGAGAAACATATTCTCTTGTAATAGGTTCAGTTTTTTATATCTTAAAATTCATATCATATCTTAAAATTCATATTCATATCTTAAAATGGGTACTGAACTCATTTAGATAGTTTAGGTCAATTTTACTCAAAGTGTTTAATTTAGAGTTTCTTTACTGAAAAGAATTCTTTTCAAGGAAAGTTCTGAGAAATTAATCCTTTATAAAACACTATTTAGATGAATATAACTGATTAACTATCATTTAAAGAATTACTCTTAATTTTACAAGACATAACAACAATATTTTTAAAAAATCTAGTTGAGATGAAACTCTTCAACAATTAAATATTTAATCAGTTTATAACACGAGAGAATGTTTAATCTGCATGATTTACCAATTAAATACTGCACCCTGATGTGTCTTCAGCAACATGATAGCTGAAATGGAATTGTTTCAAAGGGACTCAAGAAGGGCAATGCCCAATAAATGTACAAAGGTTTAGAGAAGTAGGTAGGTTTAGTGTATATCCTGGACAGTAAGATATATTTCAGTCAACCCCTAACTACCTCCATCCAGGCTGTGATATTCTTGGACATTATGAAATGACCACAGAGGGTGCTCTTGGGCAATTACTGCAGATGTCAGTTTTGACTTTGGAAACATCACCATGGTCCAACCCAGAGATGCAAAGCCCTGAAGGGACTGCCCAGCCTCTCTCCTGACACATGGGCACCAGTGGCTGCCACTGTGTGTCCGGAGGCCTGAGTGTGCAGGAAGAAACATCACAGTAGACATTAAAAATGGAATTTAAGAATTGGAAAATCTTTGTCATACTTCTGGATTGGGATCATACGAGTTGTAGATGGTTTTGATTTGATAAAAACTATGAAAGGTTGCTGACAACTAAGTTTTATATATAAGAAAAAAACACACTGGGGTAAGAGAGATTGCATACAAAACAGAAAAACCTTTGGGTGAATCCATGATCTTACTACAGGAGAACTTCCTTAAGATTTCTCTTATCCAGAGAAGACACATTTTTCTAAACTGAAAATGTAAATTTAACATGTAGATTTTAAACATAGCATGTGTAACAGTGACCATTTGAGAGGAAGAGAAGGTCTCTGTTTAAAATATTCTGGTCACTCAGAAAGACTTTGCATGAATACAGAATAGATGAGTTCCAATTAATTTTCTAAATTTGGGGTTCAGAGCCCTTGTGGTAGATACATAGAGTGTCATATGGCACAGCTATTTTTAATACAGAATCTCTTTTCTACCTTATCTATTGCACTTGTTATTGCTTCATGGGTGGGTACCCTGCTTTCACTCAGCCATGACAAAAAACTTAGAAATTGCTACTGTGGGGTGCAAGACTAAGCATTCAACCGCCCACTAATTTTTGTCACCACTGCTAAAATTAAAATGAATTTAACTTAGTTGGTTTAAAATCTGGAAGATATTTCAAAAACCGTCTGGAATTCTAGACCAATTTCTTCAGTTTATATGTACTAACTCTACTGTGTCCTGGGCAGGTGACACAACTTCTTGAAACTCATTCTGACAATCCATGGCGGGACTATGGATGGAACTCAGGTTTGTGGATTCCTGGCCCAGATTTTATAAGTCTAAAGTATGGTAGGGATAGCATAGACTTTGAAATTGGAGAGACACAATTTCAAAGTCTGATTCAACACTCAACAAGTCACTTCATCTTCTCTGAGTGGGAAATTCCTTAACCTGAAAATAAGGACAAATGGGGATGATGGCATCTGGCTCAGCAGGTTAGAAATGATATGAGTGAAGCACCGAGCCCATTGCCTGGTACACGGAGGTGCCGTGGGAATGGTGGTGGTGAGAGCTGGGGCTGGGATTACTATTTTGATAATTGGAGAAGATTAGCGATATACCTTAAAACAAACTCAGTTCCTTCTATGAACAGCATGAATCTGCCATCGTTTAGACTTTTTAATAATTATTTCTGTTATGCAAAAAACGTTTTAGACGTTTAACCACTTATGGAATGAAGTAGAATGTCTTGGTTATTTGTCCTGATATTAATTTTTTTGATCTTCCAAAGGTACGTTTAGCTTTACTATTTCAAGATTTAATGTAGAAGCCTAAGATTATCCTATGTAGGGCCTTGAAGATAATACAAATTTTAATCCTCCCTCTCTTTAAGACTTTGGAGATAAGGAGCAAAAACACTTTTCATGGAGGCCAGAACGATAATAATAGCTGAGTGAGCTGCTCAGGACCTGAGTGATGGCTTTTGGTTGTATATGGACGACTGTAGGAGGTACCATTCTCCTTTGTAGGTGCATCCCAAAACAATGGACACAAATCTAGGGTAATGGTCATTATTTGGCCTTAGTCACTGGTATAGTTATTTAAATAGAACTCTAAAGTATTTCACTATAAATATCAGGAACAATTAAGATGCTTAATTGATCAAAAAGTTTTTGAGGTCAGAAACACCAGAACTAATTGCTACTCTCAGGGAAAGTTTGCCAGAATTTTCAATAGTTTTTTTCCATGAGTGGAGCATCATGCAGAAAAAAAGATTACTTAGTAAAACACGCAAGTGTTAAAGTGTTGCTACTGGGGGCAGGATGAATATGTGACTTCAGAATAACTGTTTGATATAAAACTGTTGCAATTTGTGGTATTTCAAAAACTCAGTGAATCTCATTTGGGTTAAAAGGCTGTTCTTCTTAAGGAGTGAAGCTCTCATACTGCATGACAGAAACTGGATCCCCTATACCCTTATCTGGGTTGGTTAAACCACTAAGTGTTGATTCACTGTAGGGCATAGGCACGTATGTGTGTGCACATTTTCCTTTGCATCTGAAGTTAGGAGTCTCTGTTTCCTTCCTTCCTTTCCTTTCCTTCTCTTTACTTCTTACTTTAATTGGAATAGCAAAAGTTTGTCATGATGCCTGAGTAAAATCGTTCTCTTCAATCTTTTTTTTTCTGTAATAGACTAAGGTTACCAACAGTATTTATAGGGTCATTATTTTCAACTATTTCTTGACACCTAACAATATTATTTTAAGCTCCAGCCAAGAGGATTTCCAATAATTATATAATGTCTCTCAGTAATGATCTGTTGCTTAAGATACACATTCTGCTTTACCTTTCAACACATACTTGATAACCTCTCATTTACTAACTATAATTGAGGCAAATTCAGTCTTGGCTAATTAGGGGCTCTTAGTACCCCCTCATATATGTTATTCTTGATGACATATCAATAGAACTAGGGTCTACTTTTTATTTTTAATTACAGTAATAAAAATGTGCAATTTAAAAATATTAGAATGTTTAAGGACATTATTACTATTTTACAAATAATAAGTCCAGTGTTCTACTGGGGATATGCAAAATGACAAAACCTTCACAACCAAAACAGAATTGCTTGTCAGGCGTTCCTTTCAAAAGCAAACTTAGCCATCAGACGCTTAGGTATCAAAGAAAAGTATACCTACCAGGACAATTAAACTAGACATAATTTTATGTGTGTGTGTGTGTTTTTTTTTTTTTTTTTAAGTAAGCTCTACACCCAACATGGGGCTTGAACTCACAACCCTGAGTTCAAGAGTTGCATGCTCTATCAACTGAGCCAGCCGCACTCCCCGAAACTAGACATAATTTTAATGTTGGCCTCCTTGCGTCCACTTCAGTTAGCTCCATTGGTTAGTGGTCACACAAAAAGTCTTTGAAAAAAGTTTGGTGAATGGGAGGGAGTTAGTGTAGGTAATATCTTGATAAAGAAATTCTACCTCTGTTATGAACTGATGGCAAGCTTTGTAGTAAATAGGTCACCAAGACGAAAAACTGAAGATGTTAACACACACACACACACACACTCTCTCTCTCTCTCCTATGTACAATGGCCTATTTCCAGATGAGTCTACCTTTTCTCATCATAGAATACATGCTTCAGCTATACCAAGATTAAACATAAAGGGAATAACATCAATCCGATTTTCCTATTCTGTTCAACATTTCTGAAAATTACCACATAAGCAAAAAAAAGTAAAAGAGGATCTGGAAGTAAAACATAATGCTTGTAAATTCAGAGCAATACCAAATGGAAGCAGAAGTTGCTAATATGGTTTCAGTATTTTGTAAAACAGCCAGCTGGATAGATGATAATTTTTCTACCCCTGCAGGGCATCAAAGCTTTTAGGAAATCATTCTTTTCACACATATTAACACTTAGCTTATTAAAACAGATGATACTTTTATTGTAAAACAGCCTGGGTAGAGGCCCGAAGCATACAATCTGAAAGGGAAGACTCATTTTGACCACCCAATCTGACGAACAGTGAACACTGACACAACAGACCATGGCAGAGAGGATGACGCAGCAAGACCTTCTGTACCTGCCGCAGCTGAGTGTCACCACGAAGCCCGTGAATTGCTGTTATGAAAACATTTGCAGTCACTTGCATAATTAAATGAAACTGCCAGAAAAGCATTTCTAAAATGCAGGGGAGATGCACATAAATACATACAGTTCAAAGCAAATATTCCATTTCAGAATCAGCACTGTGCTGAGTTATGTGAAGTTACATCCCAGCAAAGTCCCATTTCCTTTGACTTGACTGTTAAATAATTACAAATGAGTGACAACATTGTGATTGAAATGGATTGCTCTCTGAAGTTTCCTTTACAGATAAATGAAACTTAATGATCATGCTCTCTAAAACCACAATCCCCCATTGCTAGGAGTTGCCATGGGTAAATGAAGACTTCTGTCCTGATAAAACTTCAGGGTTCTATTGTTAGCATGCTTCAGTGCTGTAAATCAAGATAAAAAAATGCTCAAGAACAGTAGAGTGGCAGGTATTTGCCCTTTACTGCAGTTTAGGTCTTTGTTTGACAAAAGAGCACTGTATTGACTCAAAAAACTTTTATAGGAAGAGCCAAATCCATTACAACATGATTCTGTTTATGGAATGCAGCAAAGGCGAGTGAAATGATGCTGTGCACAATGATAAACTGGTTATCATCCTGCTTGTTAAAATTAACCTTAGAAGGTTTTTGAGACTCTCATTCTAACACTGACAGTTTTCATGTACAAAAGAAGCCAATTAAGGCTTCTGTCAACAGTCAGAGAAATAAAATTATAAACTATATTAGCAGCATAGAAGAAAAAGGATCAGAAAAGGAGTTTGCTTTACAAACATACCATCAAAATGCAATTTTTTCCTGCACATATTTCTATGATGCCAGGAAGCCTTGCAAGGGCAGTTACTTACATCAAACAGCTTTTCTATATACATTTCCTCATTGATCTTTTCTCGAAGAATATCCTGGTTTTGCCGAACAAACATAATATAGGTGTCTGCCAGATCCATTCCTGGTTTCTGTTGTGGGGGAAAAGCATGGGGAATAAAATACCAGGTCTCAATTGTGAAAACACCATTTAATCACAACCTTAGAAAATAAGTCACTATATCATTTCAAAAGTTACATTAGTAAAATATGCTCAAGACCAAAATCGACAATGAGCATCTTCAGTAAATTCCGTAATTAAAATAAAGTTTATTATTGATGTATGTAACTTGAGGTCATAGTTATTCATCATTACTAAAAGGAGTAGAGACATGTGGTTGTAAACTACTAGATATCTTTTTTTTTTTAAAGATTTTATTTATTTATTTGACAGAGAGAGAGACAGCGAGAGAGGGAATACAAGCAGGGGGAGCGGGAGAGGGAGAAGCAGGCTTCCCGTGGAGCAGGGAGCCCGACGCGGGGCTCGATCCCAGGACCCCAGGATCATGACCTGAGCTGAAGGCAGATGCTTAACGACTGAGCCACCCAGGTGCCCCTAGATATCTTTTTTCTTTAAGGGCTATCTTGAAAGGTTAATATGCCAAGTATAAATGAATGCATTTTTTAAAAAAGTCCCCACTTGAAATAATCATTTCCTAATTGCCAATATAATTTATTGTCACTATCTCTGGCTGGCTATCCATATATATTAAAAACAAAAATGTTAGTTTTCCTTGGATTGCCTTCCTCAATTACTCCAGGTGCTCAAGGCATATAAGCTAAATTTTCTTATTAATTTGAGTAAAATATTAGGAAGATATTGGGCAAAAAATTTAATTGATTACAAACTGAAATGTAAACCAAAATTTTGAGGATTATCCATTGCTTCTATTCATTCCTGTTTATCAATACTATTTCAAAGATCTATTTTATTTTAGAAATACAATAAGAATATTGATGAACCAATTTCCTAAGAGGAGTCTAAAGCGTGAATGAGATAACTTTCCAAAGTTATCCAACATCTGGTGTCTTGTAATGTTAGAGCAGATAGGGTTGAGTCTACAAAAGCAGTACCAGGAAGGGACAAAAACCTGAATGGCTTCTAAAGAGTTTCCTTCTGGACTTATCTTTAGTTCTTTTTTGAGTTTCAAATAGCTAGACTAGTTAATAAAAGTACTCATTTGAATGATCTACACTGGGGTTGATCCATAATCTGTACTGAGTTATTCATTTGATTAGAATATGGCACTAATAATAACAAAATGGTAGAACTGATGCCCAAATGAGTCAGTCTTGTATCATTTCATATCCATAGAATGTACTTATAACCTCCATCGACAGACTCATTTTGCTAAAGTAAATCTTGCAAAGAAATGAGGTGAAAGAGAATTTAACTATTATCACTGCAGGAAAAACAAGGCATACCTCTGAGTGTTGTGGTAGTGCTTCTCCTTAAAAGAAGGACAAAAAGTTCTTACTGCTTTCTTTGGTGGGGGAAGTATATTTTATATACAATGACAAAACTACTCATCTCTTTACCAGTAGTGCACAGTATAGGCAATGAATATCTCATTAATAAAAACTGATTTGATTTTTTGGTAATGAAGTTATTTCTGGGTAATGAGAATCACAGGAAGCTCTTACTGCTCTCATTTTTGGCCTACAGGGAAATATATATCACATAAATTCAAGGATCCTTTCAAACATGACCCAATGTAACAAACTTAGTTATTAGTTATAATTTGAAACAACTACTTAAATGTCTTCACTGGTCTTTCCTTGAAGAGCGTCCATATACAATGTAGGGAGTATGTTTCAAACCTTATCAAATTCATTCCTTCACTATTTTTCTACATAATTCTCTTAAGCAATGTTTGAAAGTTTAAATAAAATGACAAGGCTAACCAAGAGAGAAACCTAGATTGTTTCTTCTTTTTTGGGGGGAGAGGGGAAGTGTTATAGATCAGTTTTTCCAGTGAAGAGGCAGGGTAATTTGCACAAAATTTACTACTATTAATACTTGAAGACAGCTAACCCATAAGATAAGTACTTCTCTCCATGCTTCTCAAACTTTGTCAAAACACCAACAAATGAGAACATTCAGAAAACATACTGCCACGGAATGAAAATGACAAGAGAACACTTTTCTATGTATAATGGATAGTGTACAGGAAGGTAGCTCAGCATCTGAGCTTCAGTCAGCTGCTTGGAAACAAACTACTATGATATACATAATATCAAGGCAGTTGGGCACAGCTTGGCTAAACTGGGACTTAAAGAACATGCAAAGGAGAGCTTGCCTTCTCTACCATTTTCCCCCCTGCCAACCTTATTTTTATTTCTTTCGACAGAAGAGTAGGCTTACAAATTGAATCTAGTCAATCACTTGACCCATCAGACTCATTGGAAACTAAGCTATAGCTGGGAGGACTGGGGAATAGGGACTTTAAACACTTGCCATAGATTCTAAGGTCTTTTGTCCTGTTTCTTTGATCCCTTTCAAGATAACATTCGACATAATGAAACCCCATCCAGGAAGAGTTTATCTTCTAACATCTAAAGCTAACAAACACTTTACAGTTTAAGCCTAAAAGAAAATTAAATGCTGTTCCCTTAGGCAGACCCAAGGGATATGATACTGAAATCTGTAGGTTGAGACCGTCTACACTTCCTAAGGAAGTAAGAATCTCTGGTTGAGGGTGTGAAGCCAAGCTCATTTAAAGTTTATTTCAACAAAATTAAGTGCTTATCTTTTTTTTTTTTAATTATATTTTCTCCCCTTTTGGCAAATTAAGATCCACTTGCCTGGAAAACAAAACCTTGAATTCTTATATTTCTCATTAGCATTATTTCTTTATCTTTGAGCTGTTTACCTATTCTTGAAACTGTGACATATGGGAATTTCACACCTAGTGAATATATTTTCATGTAGCTGTGGCATGAGACTATAATCATTAAAAGAATATACACAAGTAAGAATAACTGCAACAGTTGGTGACATTTACCAATTAGAATTATAGTTCTTTATCCTTCTTTTAGTATATGAAGGGTAATTATCTCTGATAAATTGCTGAAAAAGATGTAATTTTCCTTTTAAACAGTTTCTACTTACAGTACAAATGTGTTTGGATAGAAGACATTATCACTGGTTCAGCGCTTCTTTGTGCAAAGACTCTGTTTTATGGCAGTAAAATTTACATACTTTGGAAGTCACTGCATCTAATTTCATTATTACATGTTATGCATTTAATTTCAACATTACATGGTCTCTAATTAGGAAATGAAGTTTTGCTAAAAAGTAAAAACTGAACACTTGTTTTTTTTTTTGGTGTGTCAATGAATGGGATGCACATGACTGCTTGGCAGAGACAACGAATTGCTACATGTGCTGGTGCAGGTGGGTGTCCACTGGCCTTAGCGAAGCAGACATCTGGTAAGCTTCAGGAATTGTCGATTTGGATGAGTTTTGTTTTGTTTTGTTTTGTTTTATCAAGAATATTGTGTTCTAGAGAGCTATATTTAGAAATCTTTTCTGTATTGGTAATTATAATTTTCTTAACGAATAGGAGAGAAGAACAATTAAAAACCACGTAGCAAGCACTCTATGGATTAAATGCCACTTAGAGTCAGTGTTTTTTTTCATTCCCCCGTTTAAAGCTCTGAGATCCTTGGTTCACCATGCACTAACTCCTCCAACTTGTTTATTAGGATAGCAATCTCTAAATCAAAATAGGAATTCTCGAATTCTAATTTGATTAAAAAAAAAACAAAATTGGGCAAACAAAGTTATAGTAAAAGGACACAAACATCTAAAAATATCCCCCCTGAGCAACAAGAAATTAATAAATGTGGAAGGAAGTGAAGTACGGTCAGGTGAGTGCCCCTGACATTGGCTGCCGAAGTAACAGAATACACCAGTGAGTGAATAAGTTTAGGTAAGGGTGCAGGCTCCAGCAATTTTTTTTCAGCCATTAATCACTAGTTAACCTAGTGAGATGAAAATGCTGTTGAGAGAAAAAAATTCCTTGTTAATTATACGCTGCAAATGCTCTGACTTCCTGCTGCTACACGTAATCCCACAGGTGCAAGTCTTCACTCTCCCCATCCATGGGTAGGTGCGTTCAATGCTGCAGTCAGTTTGCACAGCAACGGATTTAGATGCAGAAGAAGCCGCTTAACCTTCCATGGGAGGTTAACAATACACTATGCAAACACTGTCATGGTGTCTATTTAACAAGGAGACAATTTTTTAAATATACTATTCCAGTCTCAAAGATGAACTAGAAGCTGCAGCATAATTGACTTAATTTGAAAGTGCACTTCTCATAACCTACAAAAGCTTGCCTTGAAGAAATGATCAAGAGTGGAACTGTGCTATCCTGGTTTATGATAAGCTGCACATATGAATCTTGTGAGATTTAAAACACTGCAGGTCTCCTCAGTTCAAAATTGTAATAGCAATTTCTATCTCAGCTCCAGCATTGCAGATTCAGAAGTAGTCTGTAACTGATCATCAGGGAACGCAGGACATAATTCTACAAACACAGAACTTATCCCACGTATTTTTAACAATAATACATATCTTTCTTTCACTGTGTAATACATGCTTTATTACTTTGGCATTCATGCAGCAATTTCTACAGTTTTCCATCTGAGTGAAAACATTTTTTTTTTAAAGATTTTATTTATTTATTTGACAGAGAGAGACACAGCGAGAGAGGGAATACAAGCAGGGGGAATGGGAGAGGGAGAAGCAGGCTTCCCGCGGAGCAGGGAGCCCGATGCGGGGCTCGATCCCAGGACGCTGGGATCATGACCTGAGCCAAAGGCAGATGCTTAACGACTGAGCCACCCAGGTGCCCCTGAGTGAAAACATTCTTAAAGCTTTTCAAAAGCATTTGCAGTAGGTTAAGTAGATTATATATTCTCAAAAACCTAAAAAAATAGGTTTGAGTATACCTATGATGATTACGTTGTAAAAATATGTATTTTACCAATTTTGTACAAAGTAGAATAATTATATTGTATTCACATAGAAAAGCAAAAGGAAATAAACAGAACTAAAACCTTCAAACTAGATTTATCCCATCTT